ACTGACAGCTAGGCCACTGACACGCCACTGACAGCCCCTCGCAGCCACCCGCGAGTGGGCGGGGGGGAGGCGAGGAGGAGGCGAGGGGGTGCGTCGGAGACGCTCGGAGGGGCCCAAATCGACCCCCACGATTGGCCTAATAACATACCGCGTTCTACGCTCTGGTCCCACCCCAGGCTATACGTCAAAGACGGCTCGGGATGCAAAGAGCGGGTGTTGCTAGAAGTGCCCCTGGTCCAAGGTGCCCCCCCGGATTTCCAAGGAGGCCCCCACGGCCTCCAGAGCACCCCGCAGAGGCCCAGAGGGCCCCGGGGGCTCCAAGATGGAGCGACAGGCCAGGGGCGCCTTGAGCCACCCCCGAAAAGATGGGGAAGGGGAGGGGGGCACGCACCACGAAAATCGAAGCGCCGGATGGCCAGGCACGCGCCCTCCCAGCCGAGGCCAGGCGGGGCCTGCGGTGCGGACACGGCCGCAAGGAACCCTCGCACGAAGCCCAGCCCTGCAAATCCGCGAGCGAGGTGTCATGGGCCAGTGGGGGGGGGGAACCCGAGGCACCCTGAGCGCAGCGGTTTCTCCACGCCTGCCCGTAGTCACCGCCTGGCGCGCGCGGCGAACGGACCCCGAGGTGCCCTGACGAAAGGCGTCCGCTCCCCACTCTGTGCACCAGCCTGGGTTCCGTGAAAGCCCTGGCCGGGCCCGGCGGTGGTGTACAGATGCCCTCCCTCGGCGCCTCCAGCCGCGGACGGTGAGCTTCACCTCTCGGCCTTTCTCGTCCAGGCCCGACACGTCCACCTCCACGTCGCGCCCGACGACGCCCTGATACCCGGGCACGGAGCTGCACCTCTCCCAGAAGTACGCAAATTGGCTGCTGGCGCGGCGCGTGACCACTGGATTCAGCATGACAAACGGCCCAAACACCGCGTGCTCCTCGGTCACCTTGGAGCGATCGGACAGTCTGCCCAGCATCTCGTCCGTTTCGCCGAGGGCGATCACGCGCTTCGGGACGCCGTACATGGGCGCGGCCACTCCGAGAGGATGCTCGCTGGAGGACACGGCGTCCTTCAGCGTGCCTATTATGGAGGTCACCTCCTCAGACGCGACATCCTCTGGCAACACCTCGAGGAGAAAGAAAAAGCTTCATGAGCATAAACTGTCGGAGGTCTGCGCGGATTTCTTTTTTCTGCCCTGGACCCCCTCCCTGGCGCGCGGAGCGCGCCAGAGGCGCCGCTAAGGGCGGCGGCGGCGCCGATCCAAGAACTCCGCGCAGAGCTCCGACCGTGTATGTTTTGGCAATTGTTCCTTGTTCGAACCTCGCGCGACCGCAGCCGCAGCAGCAGGCTACCGATGAGCAGCGGCTTCGGCGGGCCTGGGGAAACCGAAGGATACCGATGCCGCTACTCTGCGGACCTCTCCCAGGGCGCGTTCAGACCAGGATATCGAGGCGGATCCAGCGGTGGCGACGAGGTCCTCCGAGGAGACCCAACAAGGCGAAAACGAGAGATGGTAGCGGTATCAGCACCTTTCGTTATGAGGAAATTCCTGGAGGCCTCGCGCGGCAACTTGAGACGCAGCTTACGTCGGATCCACGCTAAGTCTACGTCGGGTTTCCGTCGGACCACGTCGGATTTACATCACATTCGCGCCAGATTCACGTCGGACTTACATCGGAGCATCGCGGCGCGGACGTCGACCCCTATCTTACGGAGCGAACGTGTGGTCTAGGTGATCTGCGTAACTACTGCGCGCCGCGCGAGGCCTCCAGCACTTTCCTCTCAGCTTTTCCTCCCCCGAAGGCCGAAGAACGGGATCAGCGCCCCGAAGCCCCGGCTGCCCCCGCTCTGCGCGGCCTCCGCCAGCTCCTCGTCGCTGAGCCGGGGCAGGTCGGCCTTCTGAGAGGTTGGCCCGAGCGGCGGGCAGCTTGGCGGCAGCGGGTCGTCCTGGATGGTCAGCGGCCGCAAGTCGAGTGGGGGGCGGCGGTCTACAGCGGCGGGGCGCGCCAGTGCACAGCGGGGCACGATGGGGGAGAGAGCGCGACGGGGCGCGAGGGGGCCGGAAAGGCCAGGTGGCGAGGGAGGTGATGAACTCACGAGCGGCGAGCAGATCCGTGTCCGCGCCCTCGCGGTCTGGATTCCGGGGCGCGGTCCCGCGGTCCCGCGGATACGCGGTCGCACGGATAGGTTCCGCGCGGGGAATCCGCGAACAAAAGGCCCCATATCCGCGGGGTCGCGGCCCAGGGGTGCGGCCCGAGAGGCCGTGGATACGGATACCTTTTTCGCCCGCGATGAACGGGCAGCACGCCCTCATACTTTTAGTCGCGCTGACCCGCGCCTTGCGATCTGAGGGCGCGTAATAAATATGGGTGCGAGGTGTCGGACCCTCAGGGGGGCTCCTGGGCACCCCCCACCGGCCATCCGACTACAGACACACACACACACACACACACACACGCAGCATTCCACCCTGGGAATTCTGGGAGGCGTATAAGTACGGGTGTTAGTTGTCGGCTCATGTAAGAGAGCGGGGGGCCACGACCAGGGGCATTCGGAAGTTACCGGGCTTTCGAAGCTCGAGGCTTTCGAACGATTTCGTCGGCTCCTGGCAAGCTTCCGACCTCGGGATGCCCTCCAGCAGCTGCGCCTGGCCGAGGGCGTTCCGCGGGTGCCCAGATCGTCCCGAGCGGCCGCCGGGGAGCCGAGCTGTGCTCTGAAAACCAGAAGCAACGATAGAGGGAGATAGGCTCAGGGGACAAAGACTGAAAGCGGAAACGACGGCGTCGATCTTGGTCACCATCGATTTCGGCCAGCGTCAACTCGTGGACCATCCTCGCGAATCGGCGGCGGCTGGCATGGGCCGCGACACGGATCGGCACCGACAGGACCCTGCGACGTCTTGGCCACGGTCCCCGCGCTTCTTCCCTCGAGGTCCTTCGCGTCGAGACACTGCAGCGAGGCCATGATGCAGCGGTCGGTGAAGAAGATGCCGTCCAGCGCGTCCACGCCCTGCTGGACGAGGCGGGCCTCCCAACCCTCGGCGACGTAGGCCACCTTGCGCCCGTCGGGGTCCCGGCCCAGCACTTCGACGGCCGCAGGCCGCTCCACGAGGGCGCGGTACCCCGGGACGCTGACACTCTTCTCCCAGAGCACTACCGTCTCCGCGGTCGTCGCCCTCACGCGCGGGTTGAAGATGGCCTTGGAGCCGAACGGCTTCCGGCCCTGCAGCTCGCGCTCTTCCGCCGGCAGCCCGCTGACCTCCTCCTCCGGGTCCTCGAAGACGATCAGCCGCGAAGACGTGCCGATCTGGGGCGCCGTCAGCACCCCCCCTTTGACGTCCCGGCCTGGCAAGTCCGGCCCGTGCAGAACCCGCAGCAGCTCCCCTGCCTTGTCTGCAAATGTCCGGGACGTGATCTCGTCTTTCCTCACCTTCGGCGCCGTCTTGCGAAGCAACGGCCGGGTGCGCAGAAGAGGGGGCCAGGAAGAAGGGGATTACAGCGCGGACGGGGTGGGGGGGGCCAGAGGACACCTTGAAAGAAGAAGAAGAAGAAGAAGAAGGAGGAGGAGGAGAAGAAGAAGAAGCAGAAGAAGGAGGAGGAGAAGAAGAAGGGAGCCATTCACCGGGGAGAGCTCATGGCCCCAGCCATGATGTCCACACGCCCCCCAGATCCATACGCCCCTCTTGGACGCCCCCGAAATGGCTTCCCCAATTGCAGCGCGGCGCTGTCCACGGTGGCCGAGCCAGTCAAAATGCTCACCGTCTTCTGGTACTTGCCATACGGAGAGTCCCAGAAGCCCTCGGCACCCGTGGCCGCCGCCTCGACACTCTGCACGTCGCCCGCAGCACTACCAGCGCACCGCGTGCCCCACCGCATGCCCAGAGATCGTGGTCTCCATGAGCGGACGGAAGCCGGCGTCACAAATGCCACCGCGGGAACGACGCGGCATGACCCCGGACGCGCGCCGATGATCGGCGCGATCAACGCCACTGCGCCGGCAGCGAGAAGCCCAGCTGCAAACGTCCGCGCAGACCTCTGCCCCACCCAAACGAGGGGCGACCCGAGGGTGGGGGGGGGCGGCTCCTGGCCCAGTGGAGAAGGGCTCGGGACAAGGGCTGCCCGAAGGTACCTCCCGAGTACCTCCCGAGTACCTCTCCTGGGCTGCCCGCGAGGGTAACCTCCGAAAGTACCATTCCTGGGCTGTCCGCGGGTACCTCCCAGGTACTTTTCCCGGGCTGCCCGCAGGTGTGCCTCCAAGCACCCTTCCTGGGCAGGGCGGAGGCTTCTGCCAGGCTGCGGGCTCCCTCTGGCTGCGCTCCCCCTCGGGAGGGGCCCGCCAGATCCCTGGGCCCCCGGACCCCCGAAGGCGTGAAGCTTTCAAAGCGGGATCCTCCCCGGGCCAGGCAGTCATCCCAGGCTGCTCTTTGGCGGTCCATGGGGCCCGGCACTGGCCCTCGGAGGCCTAACATGGCGAAAGCCAGGCCCCTAAAGTTTGCCAGCCGCTCGATGATCGTCTGTGGCTGCACGGCAACCACTGGACCAGAGAACAAACGACACCACCCCACCTACGGCGCCAGGGGGCTTAGCGTATACCAGGAAATCTGGCGTGGGGGGGACCGGCTTCTCATCCCGAGACGTTTTGACAGACCCACTGACAAGTTGATACAGTCAACCCGTATAGTAAGGATGCGCGATGAGGATGTAAGGGTCTTCGAAGCAAATGTCTAAGCTTTTCGAGCGGGGCGCGGCCAACGAGTGGCCAAGGATGGACCGAGGAGGCAAGGATGCAAGGGTACCTTTGGGAAGGTTGCCCATCCTTACAATGCGGGTTGACTGTAGAAAGGTTTAGAAAAAAACATGCCCTGTCGTTTCCCGGGCCCTCCCGCCACCTGTTCTGTTCGCAGCAAGGGGAGGCCTGGCGGAGTCGGGCTCGCAAGTGGTCGCAGAGCTACCGTCGCCAGCCCTCGGCCCCGAGCCCCTCCCAGGGGGCGTCTCCGCGCGCGGGCCGGGACCCGTGGAGGCGGACCGGAGGTCGGAGGTCTACGAGGCGGGGACCTTTAGTGCCGGAGCCCTGCAGCACTCTGTGGCCCAGGCCCCCTCGGGCCATGGAAAGAGCATGACGGGAGGCTGTCCGCTCTGTTCGGCCTCTGGGGTCTGGGGGCCTTGCCGGCCCTCGGGGTGAAGCACCACTCCCGGGGAGTGGGTCCAGACCGCCGGGGGCCCGCCCCGTGGGAAAAAAAACACGACGTCGGGGGTCTGGGGCCCAGGCGGGATGGCCAGAAAATGCCCGCCACGGAGCTGATGCTGCACGACCTCTCAGTGCCCCGAGGATTGGCGGCGCGCAGCCCGGGGTAGCGGGAGGGAGGGAAGGCTTCTTAGAAGGAGGCTGCTTCTTCGAAGGCGCTGGCCCTACATCTACAGACCAGGCCCGCGCCTTCGGAGAAGCAGAGGCGCTTCTAATAAGTCTTCCCCCCTCCCCCTACCCCCCCGCTGCGCGTGGCCGAATCGCGCCGCATCGCCAATGCGCCAATGCATCGGCGACGTCGGCGATACATCGGCGCCATCGGCGTGAAAGAAATCGGGCTCCACACCGAGCCGCATCGCCGATGTATCGACGATCCGGCGCGATCCTCCGACCCCACCTACTCGGACCCCATCTGGGAGGCCTATATACACGCAAGATTGCCCGCACCAGAAGACTGGAAACACTGATGGCTGGACCTTAGCAGTGAGCCCTGGAAACGACAGGGCCGCGATCAGCTGTTTGACGACACAAACAAGCATGCCCTGCCGTTTCCGGGGCCCACCAAGGGCGGGGACATACCCACATCCACCGCCTGGGGAACCAACGTCCCAGGCCCCCAGCGAGCGGTGGGTATGGGTACATGTTGGCCCCAGGGGGCCCGAATACATCCATATCCACCGCTTGCCAGGGTCCCCAGAGATCGATCCCGCAGTCGGTAGTCATGGATAGATCCCTGGGAGGCTAAGGAAGAGCCAAAGACCACACCAGCGCATGGAACGGCGCCGCCGTCTCCGTCGCCGCCGTCGAAGCTCTCGCCGCCGCCGTCGTCGCTGTTGCCGCCGCGCCGTCGTCGCCGTCGCCGTCGCCGTCGCCCCATGACATCCTGCCTCGATCTTCTTGATACGTGGGCACCCCGGCACCCCGACACCCTTCCCATGCAGGGCTGGCTGCTCGTCCCGAGTCCTTCTTTGACGCCCCGCAGAAGCAGCGGCCCCTGGAGGCCAAGAATGGCGACAGTGACGTTGGCAGAACTGGGTTTAGTGGGACCTGGTTTAATGATGTGTACTGGGGGACGCCCCCCCCGCCCCGTTCCACTAACTGGAACTGCCGTCACCCGAAAAAACACCAGTTACGACAGACCTGGTTTTGTGATTCTGGGCAATTTAGGGGTTCCGGGGCCCTACCACTAACCGGGTCCGCTTACCTGCGGTCCTGGCTAAGCCGATAGGACGCCCATAAAGGACGTACGCGCCATGTACATGAACACGGCCCCTTGACCCGCGAGACCAGCCGCGTGATACGAACACTCGCGCAATGCGAACTCTCGAAAACAGCGTTGATTCATGCACGTGTACGTCCTTCTCTCGCTCCTGAGCCGAGACAGACGGGCCGCCTCGCCGGATCTGGGGCCGGGCATCGCTGTCGCCGCCGGGCATTGCCGCCGCCGCCGCCGCGGCCGCCGCCGCCTTCACCGATCTGCCGGCACCTGGGCCACGACCCGCTGGCGTGGGCGCGCCGCTGGGAGCGAGCGGGAGCGCGCGGGCGCATGGCCGGCCGCGCGCCGTCGCCCGGCTGGCCCTCGGGCGGGGCCTGGGGCCTCGGCGGGCGCGCCTGGGGAGGACTTCGTCTGACGCTGCGTCGCCCTCTCTACGCTACAGACATGTGCACCAGGGGACTCTGACACAGGGCCAGGCCCACACCCGCCAAGACGTCCCAAAAGAGACCCAGGAGGCCTTCCAACAGGGATCCGAAAGGCGGGGTAACAGTGATGTCCTTAGGTGTGTGGAAAATTTCAACATACTCGCATTGTCTGGCTCCGACGCTCCAAGACGGTCCAGGAGGCCTCCAAGATAGCTCCAAAACAACCCAGGACCCCAAGTCGGTCCAAGAGAACTCCAAGATCGCCCAAGAGTCCCTCAAGACGGTCCCAAGAGGGCCCCAAGACGGCCCAAGGGAGCTCCAAGACGGCCCTGAAGCGCCCCAAGAGGGCCCCAAGACGGCCCAAAGAGGCTTCCAAGACGGCCTCCGACGTCGTCAGACGGGTCATGAGCGCCTTAAGACGGTCGAAGAAGTCCCAAGAGGCTCCCAATAGGCCTCAGGAGGCTCCCAGGAGGCCCCCAAGAGGCCCTAGCAGTCAGGAGGGCCCAAGAGGCCCCAAGAGGCTTCAAAGGGGCCTCCTCCTCCAACTCCTCCTCCTTCTCCCTCTTCCTTTTCTTACCTACGCGTTCCCCCAAGGGTGTGCACAACGGCTGGGGGAGCACATAGTCCACTAGCTTAGCCAGACGGTGGCCCAACGTTTGGCCACATAGGCGTTTCCAAAAGGGCAGGGTGCGGCGGTGGTTCGCCGTAGGCGTCTTCGATCCGCCGCCCGCTGTTGCCTGCGATAGGGGCTCGAAGATGGCCTCAAGGATGAAGAGACTCGAAGATGACCTCAAGCACGACCAAGATGGCCTTCAATGTGGCCCAAGACTGTCCAAGCCCAAGATGGCCTCAAAGGCGGCGGGAGAGGGTCCACGAGGCCTCCAAGTTCGCCCGAGATGCCTCTAAGACGGCCCGAGATAGCCTCAAGACGGTCTAAGACAGCATCAAGGCGGCTACGATGCCGCATAGACAAATTCCTCCTCTGGGGGGCCAGCGCGGATCCATGAAGTTCGTGCAGAGCTCCAACCATTTATGGCTTCTTTATTTGCAGACGGTTACGCCCTGTTCTTTATTTGCAGACGGTTACGCCCTGACGTTCCCTTCGAAAGCTATGCTACCATACTTCCAATGCAGCAGGCAGCGGCAGCGCCACGGCGCAAAAATGCATGATGCAGATGCGCGTTACGGTGAGGGTATGTTTGCCGACACATGCGTAGATCAGCTAGAAATCGAAGAGAGAGAGAGAGAGTGAGAGAGCAAGAGAGAGAGAGAGACAGACAGACAGACAGACAGACAGACAGACAGACAGACAGACAGACAGACAGAGAGAGAGAGAGCCAGAGAGAGGCATTCAATCAAGAGCCCCTGAGAGCGCCGTAGGCTGCGTAGGGCCCTAGGCGGCCTGCGTCCCCAGCATACTGCAGCAGCGACCGCTGCAGCTATGGTGAGGGCATTGGATAAGGAATCGTTGGATAAGGAATCCAGGGTCTGGAAGCCAGTGGAACGCCAATCGTGGATTAGCCATGGATAACACCCCCGCCGTCATGAGATGATGCGAGGCGGCATTAATCCATATCCACCGCCTGGGAACCGACGTCCTTGTGCCCCAGCTGGCGGTGAATATGTATATATTTTGGCCCCTGGGGGCCCGAACATGTCCATATCCACCGCCTGCCGAAGTCCCCGAAAACTGATCCTCCAGGCGGTGGTCATGTAACAAGTTCCCGCCTCGGGAATAAGGAACCCTCCTGGGTCTGAAGCCTCGTGGTCACGTGCCTCAACCAGCGCCCCAACCGCAGCGAAACAGCTCACGGGGCCGCCTTTTGGGGGACACCAAAAAGTACCCATACTGCTACTCCCCGGACCTCTCCTGGGGTGCGTTCTAACCGGGATTTCGAGGCGAATCCAGCGGTGGCGACGACGGAGGCCCAGGAGGCCCAAGAAGGGGAGAACGAGGGGAGTTCCTCCTCTAACTTTTCTTCTGCGAGGGAGGGCCGCCCGCGCCGAGCTCCGCACGACCGAGCGCGCCCGCACGACGGCCGGGCGGGGCCGTGGAATTCCCAGCCCGCAGCCGCAGCACCGCGTCGCGCACGAGTAGCACCGTGGCGGGCACGTCGGCGGTCAGGCTCGCCGAGTCCCAGGCGCGCGGCATGACGCTCCTGGGAGGAAGAGCGGGCCGAGGGGGCACACGTCGGGGGCGAGCAAGCAGGGATCAGCGATCCATGGATTTGGCGCACGGTCGCCCTCCCCAGAATGCGGCCGGTGCCGCCTCGCTCGGCGGCGGACATGCGCGATTTCCCACGGAAACGGGACCCGTCGCTAATCCACGCCCCCGTGATCCATGTTCCAGAATACGTCAGGGGCAGCTCCTGGGAGGTTCTCATCAGAACGACGAAAAGCTACGAAGCCCGGTTACCAAACCACTGGGCCGAATGAAGCCCAGGACTAGGCTGGATTGAGCAGAATGAAACCAATGAAGCGGGATTCAGCCGGATTGACCCAAATTCGGCCAGTTTTCGACCGCGGATCTACCAGCGCCGATTCACCTCCAAGGAGTTGCATCCAAGCAGATGGTCGAGAGTTTTTACTCAGCGTGTCGCCGCGGCGGCCCCCCGACGACACACTATGCCCTGCAAGCGCATAGCGTGGCGCTCCGCGAAGGCTCGGGAAAGCTCAGGACCTTGACGCTTGGGAATGGGAAAGTGGATAGCGTGTCGCGCCGAAACGTGGTAGGCAAGAACCAGCGGAGCGACACGATAAACCAAAGTTTCTCGACCGTCAATCCTCAGATCCTGGCGCCGCAACTTGTTCACAACGGGCGGCTTTGCCTCGTTTCGGCCCCTGGGACCCTCACAGATCGATCCGGCTCGAAGAATGCAACAGAGAGATGGGGTCCAGGGCTCCTGTCGTGGTTTTCGCAGTCCTGCACTTGCTTCGTGACGTCGGATCTCAGGGAACACTCAGAGGCCCGCTCGGATTCCCGGGATCGGCGCTGGGCCCTCCTCCGTGGCGCGGGGAGCGCGCCAGGGGGCGGCGCTGGGGGCGCCGATCCAAGAAATCCGCGCGGACCTCTCGAGGCGAGTGCGTGCGCTGTTGGTTCTCGTTCGAACTCCTCGCGCAGTGCGCCTTCGTTGGCCGGGGACTCGTACAGGCGAAATTCACCATGTCTCGGGGAGACGTAAGGCTCGAGCTGTGGGGACTCGAATCTGCCTGACGGGGCCGTCGGAAAGATAGCGGGACCTGCTCTGGAATCCCACCAGCCCTCTGGGCGGAGGTGGTTTAAAGCGTTTCCTCTTTCATCTTCCCTCCTCCCCTTCGGGTAGAGGCTTATCACTGTTCCCTGTTAATCTACACCCCCTCCCCCGCCTGGCCGGCGGCCAACACTGAACCATGCCAACCCCGTGAACCCCCCCAACCATCCCTGTCAAAAAACCATACGAACACACTCTGCCTCCACATTTGGAGCATGCACGGCCAACCCGATGCGCCCCCCCACAACCATCCCTTTCAAAAACATTACATAATACACTTTGGGGCAAAGTCTTGAGTCATGTTCGTGAGACCCGCCAGCACTTTGTATTGTTTTTGACCGGGACGGCGGGGGTGTCAGCATATTCCCTGCGGTGCGCAGGGCTACCATCCCTGACAAAAACAATACAAAATGCACCTCGCGGCTAAATCTGGGTCATGCACGGCCACCCCGCGATCACTGTCAAGTGGTTTTTGACAGAGACGGCGGGGGTGGTGGCGCGTGGCCTGTTGTGCGCAGGCCCACCAGACACAATGATGGGCATTCGTTTTCGACAAGGATGGTAAGGGGCGACATGTTTCCCGATGTGTGCTGTCACGTGCGCAGGCGCACCTGACGCACTCTGCACGTGCTCCGAACGTGGCGCAGCTGGCGCGGCTGGAGTGTGCGGCACACCTGGCGCACTCGGAGCACGTGGCGCATCTGGCGCACCAGGCGTGCCTGGCACGCTCGCGCCCCAGAGGTACCTGGCGCGCGTGGCGCCCCTGGCACGCGTGGCGAACCTCGCCCAAGCGTCGCGCACCTGGGGTCGGCATTGGTTGCCAGTAGCTGCCCATCCAAAGACGACCGCTGAACATGCTCAGGCTCGGGTGTAACTTATGGGTTGGGAGGGCGGGTGGGAGTGAGCTAGACGGCTTGCGGGTGGGTGGGTAGCTGGATACCTCTCCCTACCCTGTCCCCTGCTGGGTCTGGAGAGGGAGGAGCGGATCGCTGGAGCGTCCAAGATGGCCCAAGATGGCCCTAAGAGGGCCACAGAGAGCCGAAGATGACCTCCAAACTGGCGTAAGATAGCTCAAGATGGCTTCCAGCATGCTCCAAGAGGCCCCAAGACGGCTCCACCAGGGAACCTCCCAAGGAAGCCATCAAGAGGCTAAAATCTGTCCCAAGCATACGGGGTTTGTTATTTGCCTTCTCGCCGTTTCGCTGTCGATGGCCTTCCGAGGCCTCAAGATGGCCCTAAGAAGACCCAAGAGAGCCCCAAGAGGAGCCCAAGAGGGCTCCAAGACGGCCCCTACCAATAGCGCCGCAAGAGGCCCCCACCCAAGAGGTCCACACGAGGCTCCCAAGAGACCCCGAAAAGGCCCCAGAGGCTCACACGAAGCACCCAAGACGCTCCAAGAGACCCTCGGGACCGCCAAAATGCCCCTGAGACGCCCCACGAGACATCCAAGAAGATCCGACGAGACATCGGAAGAGACTCCGAGAGGCATCCAAGAAGCCTCTAGTCTTTCTGTTCGCCCTCCTCCTCCTCCTCCTCCTCCTCCTCCTCCTCCTCACAAACAACACCACCACCATCATCAGCATTATCAGCATCAGCATTATCAGCATCATCATCATCATCATCATCATCATCACCACCATCATCATCATCATCATCATCATCATCATCATCATCATCATCATCATCATCATCAGTATCGTCATCAGCATCATCATCAGCATCATCATCAGCATCATCATCACCACCATCACCACCATCATCATCAGCAGCATCATCATCATCATCATCATCATCATCATCCTCATCCTCATCCTCATCCTCATCGTCGTCATCATCATCATCACCAGCAGCAGCAGCATCATCAGCATCGCCATCATCATCAGCAGCAGCTGCATCAGCATCAGCATCAACAACATCATCAGCATCATCATAATCATCAGCAGCTGCATCATCATCACCATCATCAGCATCACCATGTTCATCATCATCATCATCATCCTCATCATCATCATCATCATCATCATCATCATCATCATCATCATCATCATCATCATCATCATCATCATCTTCATGAGCATCAGCGTCAGCATCATCAGCATCAGCATCAGCATCGGCATCAGAATCATCATCAGTAATATCATCAGCCTCACCATCAGCATCATCATCAGCATCAGCATCAGCATCATCATCATCATCAGCATCATCAGCATGAGCATCAGCACCAGCATCCTCCGCATCGCCATCGTCGTCATCAGCATCACCATCATCATCATCATCATCATCATCATCATCATCATCAACAGCAGCATCAGCATCATCATCAGCATCATCAGCATCATCAGATTCATCAGCATGAGCATTAGCATCATCATCAGCATCAACATCAACATCAGCATCACCATCATGATCCTCATAAGCATCCTCATCATAATCAGCAGCATCATCAGCAGCATCAGCATCAGCATCAACATCAGCATCAGCATCAGCATCCTCATCATCCTCATCATCATCATCATCAGCATGAGCATCAACAACATCATCATCATCATCAGCAGCAGCAGCAGCATCATCGCCATCGTCATCATCAGCCTGAGCATCATCATCAGCATCAGCATCAGCATCAGCATAATCATCATCATCATCAGCATCATCATCATCATCATCATCATCATCATCATCATCATCATCATCATCGTCATCACCAGAATGAGCATCATCAGCATCATCATGCGCATCAGCATCAGCAGCATCATCATCATCAGCAGCATTAGCAGCAACAGCATCGTAATCATCATCCTCCTCGTCATCATCATCATCATCATCATCATCATCATCATACCCATCATCATCATCATCATCATCATCATCATCATCAGCAGCAGCAGCAACATCATCGTCGTCGTCGTCATCGTCATCGTCATCGCCGTCATCATCAGCATCATCATCACCAGCATCAGCATCATCATCAGTATCATCAGCATTATCCTCATCCTCATCTTCATCATCATCAGATCAATCATCATCATCGGCAGCATCATCATAATCAGCATCACCATCATCCTCATCATCATCATCATTATCATCCGAAGCATCGCCATCAGCATCATCATCATCAGCATCATCATCAGCATCGTCATCATCGGTGTCAGCATCGTCGTCATCAATATCTGCATTAGCATCAACATCATCCTCATCACCATCATAATCATCACCATCATCATCAGCAGCAGCATAATCAGCATCGTCATCATCATCAGCAGCAGCATCATCATCATCAGCAGCATCATCATCGTCCGCCTATTCCTGCTTCTCCCTCCTCCCCCTCCCACTCCCCCGCTTCTCCTCCGAGTCATCCTCTATCCTCCCTCTCTTGGTGTATGACAGCTTCCCCAGCCCTTCATTCCACTGCATGCTCCTCTATATTCCTGTTCGCCTGGGCATGTTTCTAGAATTTGACGCGACCTCCCGCTGCAGAAACATCCCACGAAACCAGGGCCGTCAACGTTCACGCTGGGAGCGTCAGAAAGCAGCGACAGACCTGAGCCCCAGCAAACTCGAGTCTCCCAGGCAGCCAACGATGTGACGCTTACAATCCGCGGCCACTGAGCTCCCGACCTCGCCATCCCCAGAGCGTTTTCCGTGTTGGATCCACTGTAGATGGTCCCAGGGCCCGATAAACGTCTTCCAGGAAGCGTTCTGAATAGAATTTCGACGCGAATCCAGCGGTGGCGACACGGGCCTCCCAGGAGGCCCAAGAGAAGGCGACAACGGGGCAGGGGGCAAAGGTAGCGGTATCCGTACTGCTCCTCTGACCAGAGACCGAACTCTAGAAGGCGCTGGGATTGACACAACAGATCGTCGGAGGTCTGGGCCTGCGCTTCCCCGACTGTTGCGGCGAGCCCAGGAGCCCCACTCGCTCCACGCGTTGGACGCGGGCCAGCGCGGCCCGGCCGCCACGGGGGGGAGGGGGCGCGACTGGAAGCAGCCGACGAAGTTGGCGAGGCCCACCCCGTCCGCCTGGAGCTCCACCACGAAGCTGCCGGCAGGAAGGAGCACCGACCACGACAGCCCAGCACCGAAGGGCTGCACCATCACCTCGACAAAGTGCAGCGCCAGCCGCAGCTGCGTCGCCACGGGCCGGGTGCTGCCGGAAGCGCCCCTGGCCCCAGGGCGGCCCCGGCATGTACAAGGCCCCCCGCGGCCTCTCACGAGGCCCCTCACGAGGCCCCGAGGGCCCCTCACGAGGCCCCGAGGGGCCCCGGGGGCCCCTCTTTCCGAGCGCCCCTCACGAGGCCCCGAGGGCCCCCGAGGGCCTCTCACGAGGGCCCGAGGGCCCCTCACGAGGCCCCGAGGGGCTCCGGGGGCCCCTCTTTCCGAGCGCCCCTCACGAGGCCCCGAGGGCCCCCGAGGGCCTCTCACGAGGGCCCCTCTTTCCGAGCGTGGCGCGAAAAGCCGAGGCCCCCGTCAGCAAGCCCCGAGCGGTGCGCCCAGGCGCCCCGGCGCCCCTGCGCCGTCCCCGTGGAGATAGGCGGCCGCTCTGGCCCAGGCCGCGACGCGCGAAGCGCGACTGCCTTCGCGCCCCCGCAGCGCCCGGAGCGCCCCTCGCGGGGCCCCGGGGGGGGCCCCCAGGGGCTCCAGAGTGGCGCGACAAGCTGGCGGCACCTTGGCAGGAGAGGCCAGAGTCGAACTGGCAGATAGGATCGGCGATGGACATGAATCGGGTCCGGCGAGCAGCGGCAGCCAGGTCGGGAGAAGTCGAAATCGGCGGGAGTCGGCAGGCTGGTACGGCCCCCTGTCCGAAACCGAGATCCGGATCGGAACCCGAACTCGAATCGGATCGGAATCATAATCGAAATCGACGTCGAATCGAATCG